AGACTCTTCGATGCTCTTCGTTCGTCAGTATCACCGACTCTTCGAACGGTTCTTTAGGCTTCAGTTCATCCAATATCCCTTGCAGCTGATAAAACTTAGCTTCTGCTTCGAGTTCCTTGAGGAATGTAGCACCCTCTGGTAAAATCAGCTCGCCATTACGAAGATAATTTAGTATAAACCGGAAGTAAGTTCCATCTCGGTCGATAAAGAAAGAACCGTCTTCAGAAGGCTTCATCTCAAACTTGCCAGAAAACATGGCGGCTAACATGGAGTTGGGATCTTTTTTCAGCGTCTGCACACTTGTGGTAAAGTGTTGACCACCAACGTTGAGTTTAACAGTCGATGAGAAGTGAACCTGGTCTAGTTTCTTCGACATCGCATCGATGGATTCTTGCTCATGACGAACTCTGGTCGCTTCTCGCTGTATTATTTCGCAACCTTTCTTGATGTAGTTTTCAGCGTCTATGAGGGCTTGATTTCCTTGTTTATTATCAGGATTTGTATTGCTCATGACTTTCGTAATTAAATTAACGAACCTTAACTGCTTTCTGAGTACAAAGTATAGTCGAACCTTCCGTAAGCGACCACCCACAATGCAAAGACTGAGTGGTCGCTTACGGGAGGTGGTCGCTTACAAGAATCGAAGCCCGGGGGTCTCTTCCGAGAGGAGGTGCAGACAAAATTTCATTCTTCTTGACTAATCGGTAGCAGACATTGCAAAGCAACCAGATGTATGAAAAATCATCTTAATCTTACCTCTGTGTTATTGCATTTGCTTGTTGAATGTCCACTATTGCAGTACATTGATTTAAATGATGTTGTTCAGTTTGCCTATCATTGTGATTAATGCAGATTTAAAGCTATCAAACCTATGTCTGAGTCACTTTTTGAGCGCTAAGGTGTCCCCTGAATGGAGGATGAATGTGGGTTACCCAGAAATAGTGTCCGATCCCTTTTCTCTTAATAGAGGTGTCCCTTGAATGGAGGTACTGAGAAACACAGATTATGTGAACATTTTTCTAGGACCGAATTTTGTGTCGCCTGAATGGAGGTGTCCCTTGAATAGAGGTGCCCCAAAGGAGAGGTTCCACTGTACTTTATTGGCAACAGGCTAAAAGTGAAACTGGGAATAACTGTAGAAAGCACAATTCAATTTTGACTAGTCTGTTGACTGCGTCTTTACTGACATATATAAACGATATGTATGCAGTGGAAGGCCCTGAATGAATTAGGTTATGGACCTGACTACAAGGTACGAAGGAACACGATAAACGTTAAAGCAAACCAGCTAGCAGTCTGTCATATTTGTCGGGAGTGGGAGAGTGAGAGTGTCACGTGAGTGCCTAGTCAGGGCCAGCCGACGACACCAAACACTTTTTGGGCTATCCAAAGTAATTCTAGATCTCTATAGAAATGCATTCTAAGCGGTGCTATGAAATTGTATCCGTTCGGTCATCTTAGGGCAACTTGGAGTATTTTCAGTCTTATTTTCCCCAAAAATTTAGACGCAATTTAACGCTTCACAAAGGCGAAAATTTTTCTGATTCCTTTCTCCATCACATTCTCGAATCCGAAGATCCTAGGTTTCGTTTTCTACAAAATATAGCTTAACTTGGGGAGGGAAATGTGAAAAATTAAACTTCAGAAATCGTAGGGAATTCATTGCATATATATCGCTTTGAAAATCGTACATCATATCAGTTGAACGGTCATCTAGACAAGCTATAAAAACTTCTAGGGAGCGGTTATCTACTTCTTCGAACAGATATTTTACAGAAAACAGTCGTTGGGTGCCCCTGATTAGTGCCTTTTGCCCCTAAAAAAAGATCGCTACATGCCACTTAATTCTTATCTGATTCTCAAATAAGCCCTTGAAATTTAAAAGAAACTTTACAGGGGAAATTTTCTTTAGGAGTTTTACATTCTTTCATTAGGCCTTGGTGACTACGTTCCCCAGAATATGCACCACACAATAGTCTTTGGTGGTTACACTCTCGTTGGTCTTGTTTTGGTCACCATGTTATTTACTACCATGGAGGAAAAGATCGCACAATGGTTTAACAATATAAAGCAAATGGTTGGATTGGTTGAACAGCACAATGATGCGAAGAAAGAACTCTGACGAACCGTGCCATCTGTGTTTGCATTGTTTAAACATACCAGTGCGTTATTAAACGAGGTTCTCTACAAGTCTCTTGTCAAGTTAAGACTGGTTTTCACGGAACATCTCCAGAACAATTGATTCTGAGGAAACAACGGATAGCCTGCATAGCAGGTGGAATCAGAGTACGGGAGCGCTATGGATAGCGAGCAGACAGAAAAGCGGGCAGGATTTCAACATAACTCATTCTTCTTACGGCTTCGCCCGAGAAAACAGCCGACATTTTGCGACTCTACCACTAGTTTTTCCTCGAAATAACGTCTGAGAAACGAACGCAGAAATTCCATACTGATGACGTGCCTCTATCTAGAGCCGGGTAGTGCTTCTAATACTTCAACCAGTCAAAAGCACTATCCAGATATGGGTAGAGTAACGTCATCGGTATAGAATCTCTGCACTCGTTCCTCAGACATCATTTCGCGGGAAAACCAATAGTGGCGTCGCCAAATATCGGCTGTTTTCTCAGGTTACTTACGGCTCTAATACTGGCGCACGTTAAGCTCGCACTAGCTACAAAGGCGAGCTTTAAGCACGAGAGTTCGTTATGAGATCTTTCCTCCTGGATCACGCCGAGAACAGAGAATCAGTAGCTTGTAATTGTTTTCTATTTATTGTAAATTTTGTTTTAATGCTGCACACTCTAGCCTGCACGTATTTCACATGAGTTTCCTTTATTCTTGGACTAAATTTCAGGCACTCGTGGAGCAGATGGCGTTTTCGCAAATGATCACAGTGCACTTTTCAAAAGGAAAACAACCACAACTTTTTTACTAGAATAACGAAATTCGCTTTTTATCACGTCTTTTTTTGGAACTTTTTCTTATTAGATTTCTTCTCCTGTCCACCTAATATCTGCAAAGCTCGTGGATCACGTAAGTTAAGTCCAAGTCTTTGTGCCTCAAGTGCTTTAAGTTTTGCTTGCTCTTTTTCTTCTTTTCGTTTTGCCCTGAGCTCATGCATCCTTTTACGATAATCCTCAATAATTTTCGGCATGTTCTTCATGTTCTCCTCAATCTTAGCCAACCTGAAATGTTGTCAGTAGAAAGGTCAATATTAGAACCTCTGCATTAGGTGGTGAAAATGGAAGGGGGGGGGGGAGGGGGTGGGAAATAGGCGAGCAAGGGCTATCCTCAATCCCCCACTTACCCTCTTCTATTTTTTCCCTCGCCAATTTTAGTCCCCTCCCACCAAAATGGAGAGCCTGCCACAGGCTGCACTTGATTACCAGCCACTGTTTGGGCAAGTCATCAACCCCCCGAAATCCCCTCATCGCCTCTTCAGGGAGCATCAAAGACCACACTCGGGGGATAGCGAGAATTAAGCCTAAGCACAGGCTAGGTGTGTGGGGTGCTGCTAGCCCCTGTGAATCTGGGGTAGAGTTTCCAAGCAGCTTTAGCCTGCAGGCATAATTCTTGAGTGGGTGAGAGCTGCTTGTTTATGTTCATAATGAGTGGGTGCATTTTTTATTTTATCACTAAGAAGGATTACACCATCCCTTTGACTTGCCCAAACTACTCAACACTTTTTTCGAATCTAACACGGCAGTTATTTGCGCACCCAAAGAAAGCACCTGAAATGCAGGCTAAAGGAAGTTAGGGTATAGTAATTATGGCAAACAGCAAGAAGCTAATTTACTTTTGATGTTCAGCTGAGTCCATCTGTTTTTAAATTTTGGAATGAAAACTGGGGTCAAACCACCAAGGTAAAACTGCGTAAAGGATAGCCTGGCTGAACTTTTCACTCCTAAGACGGCCACAAGTCTCAATTTTTACTTTACAGATGAATAGTATCGCATGAACGTAGTAACTACTGAAGAAGTTTCATTTGAGTTGTTATACATGTTCCATAGGATTTCACCTTCAGACTCTAAAGCCAAAACAGTGAAAGTGCATAAAACCCTCAAGTGGTACCAAGCTAGAAACTAAAAGGTACTGCTGAAGAGGTTTCATTTGAATGGTCACATCTCTTAGTTTTGTACAGATTCAAAAGTGAGAACTACATTATAGGTTTTGATGATAAGCTCCGGGAGTGACAGGAATAAAGGCTTTATATGTAAAATGACAAAATAGTCACACACCTTTCTTCCTTTCTTTTCTCGTACTTATGTCCTTTCGGCATTCTGTCCAGACCCCTATCCACCATGGGTTTCTCAGGCCAGTAATAACCTTTAGCCATATATTGTTTACTCAAATCTGCCAATCTTCTAGCACTGATCTTGGGCTTATGCCATTTATCTCCAACCTTTTGCGGTTTAGACTTCCGTAGGATTTCTGCAACTTCAGGGTGGACTGGAGGCAATACATTGTCAAATTAAGGCACAGCAATGAGGAAAACTTTTGCCCTCGAAATGTCAGATCTATTATCATTTTGTTATGATCATCTGTCTTGTTACATTCGAATTATGGGTGTGGCAAATCATATCACTGAACTAAAGATCTTTCAACCCTTTAAAATTGTCTTATGTCTTGAAAATTTCAGGCCTTGAATTGTCTTATGGCCTGACCAATAAAGGGGGATTGAACCCACAAACGTTGATGTCTCTTCTGTTACTATGCAAACCTTTTCCACACCATAAAAATAAAGTTGTAGAAACTTAGTTTCAACTTCAACTCATTCATTTCAACTCTTTTACAGCCAAACAGGGAAAACCATGAACACCAGAAATATTTCTGGAATGTTATTGTGTTACAAGAAAACTAGACTGCAAGCTAAAATGTTAATTAGTTTGTGGTTTTGTGGCTAGTTTACATTTTCTCGTCTTTGCTGTGATTGGTCATAACACAGTAAACATTTCTGAAATATTTCAAGTGTTCACGGTTTTTCCGGTTGCACTGTAAGTATTATCTCAAGTTCCTATTTCTAATAATTTGATAATCACTACTATCAATGAAAAACACATGGTCACTCATGATTTCTTTAAAGATCTCAGTAGTATTTCCCCATGAACTGACATCTGAGGAACAAACGCAGAAATTCATACTAATAATGTAACACTACACAGATCTGGATAGTGCTCCTCATTGGACGTACAATGTAGCAAGATTGCTTCAACCAATTAGAAGCACTAGTTCCATCTAGGTAATGTGGTCATCAGTATGGAATTTCTGCACTCATTCCTCAGACTTCATCTTGTAGACAAACCGGTGGTGGTATTGTCGTGAAATGATGGCTGTTTCCGCTTGCTAATTCTGTAAGTTACCATCTCCCAAAGGTGACCACGTGATCTTGAGATTTCAGGTGCTCCCATACAAGAGATTTAACTGTACATGGAGCAACCGTCTTTAAAGGGGCTGTGTCATGGCAGTCCAGTTCATTTTGTTTTATTTTGCCAATTACTTGCCCTCAATCGCTATGGAACTTAAAGTGAGCAAAGAAATTACAAGGAAATGACAAAATCAGAGATTCAAGACAAACAAATATGTCTCCTGAGCATTATTTTTGAAGTTGCAAACAGCAGAGATCAACTTTGAAAAACTGTTAGGCTGAACAGTTTTCAAAAGCCCTAATTACAATCCGTTTCAATCTTCTTCAGTTTTGCCCATCCGTGGCATCTGTTGTATCTGTTGTGTTATTTTAACTTTCCTTTAACGTTTTAAGCAGTTATTTTCACATTTTTCTTAATTTAACAGGGATTTTGTAATTACCTAATTTGGCTGAATTTCATGACACAGCTCCTTTAAGGGAATTTTAAAGAAAATCTCTCATGCATGAACAATATTTTGTCACATCCTTACCTTCTTTATTTTCTTCAATGACCGGAGTTCCCATACCTTTTCTTTGAAGCATATGTGGTAACGCAGGATCAGCATTTTTGTTTGCAGTACATGTTGTTTCATTATATTTCATTGCTTCAGTGGATTCTGGTGTCTCTTTAAACTCTGCTGCAGTGCTGCATAGATACCTAAAGAATATTATCAAAAAGACTGGTCAGTGAAATGTAGATTGAAATCACAGAATCTTTTCGATTTTGAAAAATATCAACCCCAAAAACTCAACCAGAATGATGCCTAAAGATAATATTTAGTACCGTAGCAAAGAAAGTTCTGAAAGTGATGGAATGCAATAACACTGTGGCACAATCTGCGGGCACCTAATACATGTACATATAGAAAACTTGTTTGTAGAGAGCAAAATTCAGAATAAAGCAAATCATTGTATCTTTAATATGTGGATTCTTCTATTAGTGATTTTTCCTTTGGGGTCTCCTTTCACTTCCGGGTCCCCCTAAAAATCCTAACACCCCTTGGACAGAAAACGTCACTCAAAAAAAGGTGACAGGTATCAAGAGGCGATTTCTAAAAACAGGTGTTGAAAAATAAATTTTTTGGTCTGAAATAGGGTCAGGATTTAGGCCGCACAACCCCAACAAGAATTCCCGAGTCACCCCCCCACCCCACACCGGGGGGGATCTTGCTGTTATGAGTACTGGACGTACATCGTACATGCATCTCTAGTTATTTCCTTTCAAAGGTTTACATTTAGAACCTTTCTCCACTCCGCATTTGCATCACGATGTTGTCACGGGAGAGAACTTACTGTACAATTTTAGTGATAAAATGGGGTACTGACTTGAGCAGTGCGACTTATCCTTGGTGTAAGAACCTTTTAAACTCACCGGTGACGTAAAGCAAAGAAAACAAAGAAGTCAACACAATAAAACCTAGAAAAACAAGAGGTAAAAAACAAAGAAAAAGTTCACCGCTTCTTACACCGAGGTAACCCAGCAATGCGGTGTGGGTCAGGACAGGTTAGGGTGAGTCCTGTCTTCCAGGGCTTTAGTGTTTTGCATTTATCATTTATAACTTGACCTACCTCTGTGCGAGAAATCGCCCAAACACAAATCTCTGGGTGAGAGAAACGGGTGCAAATGATCCCCAAAGTCTGCTACAATTTCTACACATAAATGCCGCCATTTTGGCCGCCATCTTGGAAAAGGCCTTGATCACGTGAACCGTTTTGCCGAAAATGGAAAACAATTCCTTATAAGGAGGACACCTCTTATCTGTCGTTGACCAAAAATTATTTGGTAGTTGATATGGCGGAGGGCGAGTTGAATGTGGATAGTATAATATCCCGCTTGTTAGAAGGTTAGGAGACTAAAAACTCTACCTTACTTCATTCAGTTAGTATTGTATAGACTTGATCTAAGCATTACCTTCTTTTCTGCAGCTCGCGGTAGACCAGGAAAGAGTGTACAACTAGCAGAATCGGAAGTTCGCGGGTTATGCTTGAAATCAAGAGAAATCTTTTTGAACCAACCCATCCTGCTGGAATTAGAGGCTCCTCTTAAAATCTGTGGTAAGCTTTCTTGTGTTATGCACAAATCCTTTCACTGTGTTCTCAGTCGATCACAGTAGTTCTCTCATTTGTGAACCGAGTCTTCATTTTGCGAGGAATGCAGAGCAGAGAAAGCTTACAAAGCTTCTCGCGGCTTAGATTTGTCCTCACTCGTCTTACTAGCGCCGGCCGGCTTGAAAAACGCTATATATTCCTGAAAATTAGAGGCTTAAATCTCTATCAGATATTTTTCGTAGCTGTTTCTCGCATTTTAGCATGTGGCACTAAGCAAATAGCGATCTCCTTGTGTTTGGTATTTCAGGATTGGAGTGACCTAGCCTTTTCCGTCAATTTGCGGTAAATCATGAGCACCAAAGTTTACAACCAAAAGTTCTAATATGTTCAAAATAAGGAGTTTTAGACTATAGTTTTCTGAGTTATCTAATCATAAAGGCATTAGTATAAAAAATCTTGAGGCTAAAGGAGAATTGTAAAATGTGTTGAGTAATATGCATGACTGCCTCTGTTGTTTTTGGACCTGATAGATAGTATCCTAGTGCTGTTTGGAAAAACAGACTTGAAACAAGTAAACAGGCTTGCTCACGTCTTATTAGAAAGAAAAGAATATCTGACATCTAAGTCGAAATGAAGTAATTTGTAAATTTTCTCTTATTTCCATGAGCTTTACTCCGTGTACTCTGTTATGTCTGTTGTCGTTAATTAAGACTAATTTTTCGAGGGAGTTCCCTATTTCCCTGTTATTTATACCTCTCTCACTTCATACCCATAGTTATGTTAGGTTTCGTTGATTCCTATGGGGTATGAACTCGATTTTTCCTGTTTACGCACCGTTAACATCATTACATATTGGTGATCGGTGCAAACAGCAGGCTAACGCATAAATATATCCTGTACGGTCAGTACGGTTACATCTTCCTGTTGGGTTGTTATGCAGTTTTCATCCTGGGTTGAAATCTTTTCTTGCATGGAAAAGGCAAAGTTTTTCCACCTGTTCAATAAATAGGAGACCAATTGCACAAAGTAATGGTACAGTACATACATTTTCATGTGGCGAGCTACTTTGATTGTTAGTTCATATAGTGTAAACTGTGTTTTAATTATTATAAACGAAAATAATTGAGTGATTCTTTTTTCAAATGCAAATAATGGCAGTAACTTAACTTACTTTGTGAATTTTAATGCTGGTCAACTTACAGTGTTTGAAAGGTGGGTTAATAGAGAAAACCAAAGTGATATTTTTTGCTTTGAAATTTCGTGTGAACTATAGCCTTCTATTCCTTGTGGGTAGTGTCTACTTTGACATTACGATTACAGATACATTTGAGCAAACTTTGGATATTGCAGTCCCCAGCCTGGCTGATCTTTCTCATCTTGCCAAATGTGTGTAGATTTTGTAAACACTATGTAAAACACATGTTTGTCTGCAAGTTGTTTTGAATTTTTATTTTCATTGGGGAACTATAGGGGTGCTGTTACACAGATAAAAAGAGTTATTTTGCTTTGTTTTTATGGAATCTGTGCCACTGCAAGGCATGTTGATAATATCTGTAAGTAATATTTGCTATTTCTTCCCTCAGCTGTTTCAGTGTCCCTAACTTCTTCACTTGTTTTTTTTTTGTGCATACATTCAAACAGTAACCTTTCTTCATTTTATTTATTGCATTATATTTATAAAAATTTTTTGTTTCTCAGTGGAGTCTCATAATATTTTACCACAACTTAATTTTGCTACACACTGTGAAATTTTTATAAGTTAAAGCTGTATGATGTGAACTTGTAGACACAAGAGCTTTCAAACAATAAATTGGTGTTTCAGGTAATTGTACCTGAGATAAAAAGTTAACTACAAGTCCATGTCACTGAGGGCCTTTAGTTATGGGCCATGTTGCTTATACCGCTCACTTCTATGCCAAATGTCGTCTTCATTTGCAAGACAGGACAAGACATTCATTGATCAGCTTCTAAAATGAGCTGTGAAATAGTTCATCATAATAAAATGTAGAGCTTAATAGCTTTTTAAGAGATTAGTCTTAACTAACACATGTAATCAAGTTTTTTTTTAGGTTCTTATATTTTTCCACTACTTATTTTTATATTACAATAACATACTGTAACCTTGCAGTGGGTCAAGGTAGGTGTCACTAAGATTTCAAGTTAGAGGCTGTATGCAATCAGTTGATGGGGAACTGAACTGCTAGGAGGTTGTTTTTCCTTTTTTCCTTATGAAAGTAGCCAGGGTCATGCTTCAGGAAGCTGGGAAAAATTCCTGACCCTTGGCTCTTACTGACATCCCTCAGTGTGATGATATACATGTCAGTAGTCCATTTGCAAAGACACTCATAAGAATGTAAAGGCACTTAAATCTATGAGATTGTCCTTACATGATATACACTGTGAATGTTTGCTGCACTTGCATTGCTTTAGTGCCTTTCTGTGCCTTCTTTTTTGTCTCTTCCTATAGTTTTCTCTCCCATTGGCTTCCTTTCTTGGTTGTTCACAGCAATCTGTAAAGAGGAACTTTATGTATAAACTCTGATCTTAAACTAACACCATCCTTTAAAGTCACCACTACAGCTTTGTACATGTACATGTTAATACAGTTGTTTTTTAATATACGTGTACATGCTGTCCAAAAACCTGTTCGGGACAGTCACTTTAAGGATTGGCCAACTGACCACTAAACACAGCTTGCCAGTTTGATAAAACACCAATATGAAAATAACTATGAAACTATCTCAGACCATAGAATGTTGGCAAGTGACCTTTTAATACAAAATGTAAAGGTGAATGTTTTACACAGGTTTGCTTTGTACAAAATACTTAATTTGGTAAATTAAAGTATAAAACATCCTGTCTTTTCTCACTGTCAAAAACACAGCTGATGTTGACAGTAAAATGGCCACTGTGCTGTTATGCTTAAATACTTATTTGTGCTAATCTAATATTTTGAAAACTCCTACAGGTGACATTCACGGGCAGTACACAGATCTTCTAAGGTTGTTTGAATATGGGGGATTTCCTCCAGAGGCAAACTACTTATTTTTGGGTGATTATGTGGACAGAGGGAAGCAGTCTCTAGAAACCATCTGTCTTCTGTTGGCATACAAGATCAAGTATCCAGAAAACTTCTTTCTGTTGCGGGGAAATCATGAGTGTGCAAGCATCAACAGAATATATGGCTTCTATGATGAGTGTAAGTAGATTTACCGATATGAACAACGTTTTTGTGTAGCCCAGCAATTTGGTTTTGTATTGGTATTCTACTTTTCCTTTAAGTATTTTTGTGTGTTGGCTTTTGATTATAAATTAGTTGTCAAAATATTTTTTCCTTAAATGTATGAAGCGAGTAGTTTCTAAAAAACTAACACTAACACTGTTACAGTACGGCACGACATCATTTTAATCAACAGTTGTGCATTAACAAATGGAAAGTGATGTTGCTGCTTGCTGAATGAGTATTAAGCTATTCGGCATTTTTTAAAAGATTGACTGTCATTCAGCAAGTTGTAACTTGATAAATGGAGTGCAGCTGTCTATTTTCATTTAACAAAATACAGTTCAAAAAGCAGGCCTGTATATATCCTGTTTTATATTTTGCAGGTAAAAGGCGGTATAACATCAAACTCTGGAAAACATTTACCGACTGTTTTAATTGTTTACCTATTGCTGCTATAGTTGATGAAAAGATCTTTTGCTGCCATGGAGGTGAGTGAATTTGAAACATTGAACAGTCTTTTCTAAATTCATTTCATTTAGGAGTTTGTACTAAACGCTGTATACCCTTTTTTGTTTCTTACTAGGTCTCTCACCAGATTTACAGTCCATGGAACAGATTAGAAGAATAATGAGACCTACAGATGTCCCAGATACAGGTTAGTTAACCATACACTGGTCTACATGCCACTGGCCTTGTGTACAATATGTACAAGGCATAATCATGTTCTGGCACAAACTAACAACAATGCAGGAAAAAATTGCGGAATAGTGATGCATATGAATATAGTGTTATTCCTCACGAGGCGGTGGTTTTTAAATTCATCACGCGCACAGCACATGGATTGTAATGGCCTGCAAACTCAGATGGCCCATGTATGTTTCTATATATCTGCTGTTGTGGGCGGCATTGACTTCATTGACAAACTTGTTCTGTTATTTTTGCGGCTGTTTTTGCTATCAAGAAATGCTTTTGGTGATGAATTTTTGATGGCAGAAGTGTTTTACCGGGAACATTGAAGCAATTTGTACCATAAGCTTCAAAATAAGAGCAAAATCGAGATCAAAGAACCCATTTCAGTGGGCAGAAGAGTTTGCTCCTGTTGCAGTTTATGTGTTGGAAGACCCTTTCAGTTTGGCTTCTTGCCATCAAAACCTTGCTTTTTATTCTACACAAAAATAGTAAGTCAATGCTATATGAAAGTATCTTTTATACCTTTTTTTAGGCCTTCTTTGTGACTTGCTGTGGTCAGACCCTGACAAAGACACCAATGGCTGGGGTGAAAATGATAGAGGTGTTTCATTCACTTTTGGAGCAGATGTAGTCAGCAAGTTCTTAAACCGCCATGATTTAGATCTCATTTGTAGAGCCCACCAGGTTAGTTAAAATTAAAAGGTAAAGGGCATAAAGTAATTCCGGCACATGCACAAAAAAATCTGCAGTGTCTGCAATAATGGCTCAAGTCTCTCTATTAGGTCACTAATGCAAAAGTCAGTCAATATTACAGTATCATGACCTTCATGTATCTACAATTTTATGGGATTTTTTAGATAATTTTTTAATATCAATGTTTTGTTGTGATATTTTTTTCTGTGCAGCTATGGTTTGCTGCACAGACTGATAAAATGGAAGGGTCTTGAATGGTCCTAAAAATGTAAATAACTTTATGAGGCATTTCTCAAATAAAGAAAGGTTTGTGACTGTCTTTTATTTTTCTAAAAACAATAAAATATAGTTTTATCAACTGAGTTGCTTAAGTAAAGTCATCTCTGAATCTTAATACACTGCGTTTCACTCCCCACCCCTTTATTCTCTCCTTAGGTTGTAGAGGATGGTTATGAGTTTTTTGCCAAACGACAACTTGTTACATTGTTCTCAGCACCCAATTACTGTGGAGAGTTTGACAATGCGGGTGGAATGATGAGTGTGGACGAAACTCTTATGTGTTCTTTCCAGGTAAGGGCAACACAATAACACTCTGTTTTTTTCCTCCCCCTTTAATGCATGAATGTATTGTAAAAATGAACCAGTTGTGCATTTCTCATACAATGATTATATAATATAGGAACAGTGAAGTGATGGTTTTCTGTTTTTGGGCCTGATCTGAAACCAACTTGATCAAGAGAGTTGTCAAGACTAGTTTACACATGCAAATATGCGAGAATGACCATGAGCAGCGTCTGCAGATGTAGTAACTTGTGGTTAATTCATTGGAACCTTTTGTTCTTTCACAAGGTTGTAATGTTCAGGAGGCTATTGCAACTACATGTGTTTTTTGTGCTTTTGCTTGCATTGTGTGTGTAGGCCAGTCTAATGACTTCAGTGAATACCAATTTGCAAGGCTACACTGCATGACAGACAGTTGGAATTGCTCCCGACCCCATTATTCATTATTTACACAGACATCCTGGTAAATATATTTGTAAGTAAGTCAATGTCTTGTCATTATTTTCCTTCTCTCGTCTAGATTCTTAAACCATCAGAAAAGAAAGCAAAATACCAGTATGGTGGTTTAAATTCAGGGAGACCTGTTACTCCTCCAAGAGGGCCACAAAAAGCAAAAGGAAAGAAATAGACAATCATCCTTGTGTTTAAAATACTCTGGAAAACAAATGTCACTTCATTGTACCAAGATGGTATGATACACACCAGATGAACTCTTTGTTTGTTTAGTAGTTTGCCTTTATAAGAGATCAGATCCATTCCTCCTTGAAGTTAAGATATTTTTGTTTTCTTTTAATGAGGAGGCAACATTTTTGTGGTATCCAAGATTCCACATTGTCTTGTTTTTGGTACCATAGTAATCAGTCACTGATTATACAACAACAACCTAAAAAAGTTTTTCTACACTTTGGTCTATTTACGCTGTCAGAATGAACTAACGATAATACATCCCACATAATTATGCATATTAATCTTCGTTATTTTTGGTTCCAAACCTCATAGAAGTTGAAGTGAGAAATAAGTGTAGTTTGTAAGTTTTCATGCATCATGCACATTTTACCACTGTTTATATTATTTTTATCGTACACTGTTAGAAATGTCAGATGTGTCACAAAAGCTAATCAGCCAGTGATTAGCCAGCCCTCTGCCTTAACAGAATGTCATTGGTTGTTTATCTTTTTTGTCACAGTAAGGCTGATTTTAAAACTAGTGTTGTTTTCATTTTGTGTTTGTATGTTAGCTACTTTACAAAAGTGTGTAACTATAATAAATTAAACCTAAAGAAAATTGCTCAGTGTAGTTGCAACTTTTACAGTTGCAAGTAGTTTGAGCGTGTCCGTCCAGGTGAATGTAGTCGTGAATAGGACTGTTGATGACAGTTCTGCAAAGAATGCTGGAAAAGGTCCATACAAGCCTGAAATTTTTCAGGCTATCTGTTTGCAATAACAAATGTAAAAGTTGATTCTACTACTGCGGTGGTCTTATTTATGTTTAATTCTTCATTTGGCTGTTAGTATATGATTTTCATATATTTATCATTTCAACGTAAAACCACAGCTGTTTTTTTTTTTTTTTTTTTGGGGGGAGGGTAGAGTGTGGCCTCTCTTCCATTATTACATGTTATATTCCAGTAATCGGTCTTTGAGCCAGGATTTTTGTGGACTCTTGGCCCAGGGGTAAGTCTGTTGACAGCTGTAGACATTTTTTTCACACATATCCTTCCATGGACATGTAAGTTTCACTTATAAGACCTGTCATAAGTAAGGACCCTTAAGTTTTGGTAAGATTGGAAGATTGGTCTTGAAATGCCCATGAAGGCTCCACTTTATTTTAAATTGTTGTGCCAGTGATTTTTATAATTTAACAGTTTAAAAATTAATATCAGAGTGTGCAACTATTAAGAAAGAGGTTACAGCTCTCAGCATTACTGCACATTTACCTATGTTGTTGCCTTTATGATGAGTATAACTAGTTTTTCTTGTTCTTCTCATTAGACAAGTGAAACTGTCTTCTTCAGTAACTGAAATAATGAAAAGTTTGTCATTTCTAAAATGATTGATTACCGTAGTAAGTCTTCTGTTTTACATTAGTTTCTCAATGGTGTACATTTTTAAGTTAAGTAAAGTGCAGAGAATGTTGAAAGCCATTGTGAGAACAATATAATTAATTCAAGTCATTTCATTTGCTGAGTCTAAGGAAAAGTGTGTTATTTTTCGTCCGTGTTACCTTTCGACTCCTCATGCCAATATGAAGATGTGATGTAGCTCTAACTAGTTGTGCGTCTGGACGAAGTCCTATGGTGTGACCATTTAATTCAAATAAAACTTCCTCAGCAGTTGTTTTACATAGTAGTATTACTAATTATAAATCTTCAGTTCTTGGGAAACAAAAGTTATTTTTCTTGAATTTTAGAATTGGCCACATATTAGGCTCGATTTCCGTTGTCATTCTTCCATTTAGTCAGAAGAAAACCCAAGACATTTATGTTCGCAGAGTTTCATGATCCCTAAATTGTTCAGAGTTAAAATGTTTTCTTTATGTACACCATGAAATGAATAGCTATCCTAGTTTAGTTCCTGGGTATGCTGTTAAATACCACAGTGGAATTAGTGCACCATCTGGATTGAAACAGTACTGTTATAAATGTTTTTGTGTACCATTTGTCCCCTAATGATTGTATTAAAGTTAACAAAAGAGAACGATAGTGACAAAACTTTATTAAATTTTAAACTATAAGATAACTTGATGATAAGAAAGTTTATACACTCCGACATACTTAAGCTGCATGTGAATAATTCTTGTACTTTTGTGACAAACAGTACATAATTTGTAGAATTAATCAAAAAAATGTCTGGCAACAATAAACTTCTTGCAAACTATCAACATCAAAGTTTTGTTCTTTATGACTATGCAAAGAGGTCAAGGGTTGGAGCTCAAAGTTGCACTTATCAGGCCTTCACAGTCATTGCATTTCAGTGATGTTTCCCAGGGGACCACATGACATGAAATGGACTAACTGAACAGAAAAATGAACTCAATAGATTTAACAATGAGTTAGTCTCCAGTACCATCACGCGATGTATACACAATCATCAACCAGTCTCAGGCATGGCATTCAGTAAAACCTGCATCAATGAAAGTGCAGGTTGAGACCATCCAGACTGAGATTAAAACCAACTGACACCAGGGCCCAGTTGTTCGAAGGCCGATTAGCCCCTAAAACTGGGGTTACCAATAAATTTAATCTGCGTTTCTTTTTCTTGTGTTCAAAAGTATTTTCTAGGATAATTTTCTGTTATTTTTATAGCCTCAAAACATCAACAGGTAGACAAAGAATTAAAACTGAAATGCTTTTTAAGCTTTCAACTGCGAATTCAAATCTCGCACTAACCCTGGGTTATCTTAACCCAGCTTTGAACAACTCAGCCCTGATGTATAAGAAACAGAAAATACCGGCACAAACCAGGGTATGCTTGAGGGCTACTCAAAATATTTTAGAGTACCTCATAGATAGATTGTTTTTATTAGCTAATTTTTAATGCGATTATTGGACCCATCAGGGTCAATAACTCACTAGTTATGGGGCACCTTTGGGACTGGCTCTAACTGTGTTAGAGAGGTTGTAAGCAGTCAGTTGGCCATAGGTCACTGCGAAAATTACCAGAAAATCGTCAAATTTTTTTGGGTAGAGGTTCATGTGAACCTGAGGTTCACATCAAGTTTTGTTCTTTGCATGAATTGCATGTGCAATGGCTGATTTCCAAAAATATCAGAGTAACCTATGTGGCCTACTCCACAAGGGTGACCGTTAAAGACAGGTTCGACTGTATATAGCTTTCCTTTTCATTTTGTAGGATATTTTCATTTACAATAAAGTGGAAACAAAAGAACATAGTGATAAAGGAGTGAGTTTACAGCTGAAGAATTCTTTGAAAATTTGCACCAAACATTTTTCTTCATTAAAATTCCAAGTACATGTACACAAGCAGTCTTTCAAACACAAGCAATCTTTTTCATATCGCAAGTAAAACAGATATTTAAGATATTCTTGTACTGCATTGTAATGGGAGAAAGTCATGGTCAAATCCTTCCCCTTTCAACGTCAGCTAATTCTTGTTGCTCCCACAAAAGGTATTTCCTAGGAAAATTACGTCATTAGAAAGCACCAGTCTGTATCACTTGTCTGAGTTTTATTACTCAAGTCAAATAAGTTTCTGTCTGTGAAGCTCTCTTCAGCTTGTGTTATAGTTACAGCAGAACTCAAATCGTCCATGATCTGATCACTTGACTCTGTACAGCACTTTTCTTTGGAACCTATGCTCCAGTTCTCCTCTTCTCAACATGATATAAATTACTGTGTGGATGGCACGCTCTGAATATTTCTGCAGCAGAGTCAAACCAAAAGTGTTAGAGCATGGGGGTTTTAAAAAAGCTCCTACAGTATAAATTCCTATACAGCTGAAATGTGTGGAATAGTGATGTGTTTCTTTCCCCCTGCAAAAAATGCCCCTGTTGAGCTTTGAATAAGATATCAAACAAATTTTACCAAGGAGCACTGACCATAAAAATTCTTTGTGGGGTGATTTTTGTAGGCATGACATTAAAACTTGAAAAAGTTGGCCCAAGGTTTTTTCAAGTTTCAGTCCAAGTCCATCCTTGTCATCCATTGCAACAGACAACAGGAAACAGTTTAAAAGCCTTAATAAAGTCTTCAATAACAAAACTGGACCATTATTTTTGGAATTCAATTGATGCAAATAAAGTTTTAGCTTTTTAAAAAGATAGCGTGAAATGGCCTTTAAGGAATCTCCAAATAAACCACCTGGGAAAACTGATTTTGTCATGTCTGGATGGACATTGAACTGAACTCCTATTCTTTAAAAACATTCATACCTTTATCAGCATTGAGCTGACTTTTAAGAAGAGCAAGAGTTTCAATAGGCTGATGGTTTGAGTTAAGTAACCGATATTGTATCAACAAGGTTTGAAAGAATATTTCTTTAATTTCTTCAATTAATGGAAAAAAAATAGCCTACTCCCCTGGGGAAAATAGGCTTAGCTTTTATCAGCAATCATACCTAGAGTCTTTTAAATGTTTGCTTACCTGCTTTGCAAAATCTTGAATTATTCTCTGCTCAGACACCTATGAAAATAGAAGGCTTATATTAATAATAGATATATGGGTAGCTTGTTATTGTTGTAAATGGGAGTTAATTTCAAGACCAACAGATAAGTGTCAACTGCTTGATTATCTCTAGATCTGGCCAGTTTTGGGCTAACAGCACACAGAGAGACTTGCACACACTCAAGTCCTGATCACAAGCACATTCCTTATTTATTGGTAAAATCAATGTGCTTTTATACATATTGGTAGCTAAATCATAGCAAGTCACGTTTCATTGCACAAAGCAGTAAACACCTGTAAAATCTTTTGCTTCCCATAGAATATTTAACTTCACCTGTGTTCCAATGGCAAATCTCTTCTTGATTTGCTTTTCAATCTGTCTGACTTCTTCCACATCTTGCTCTGGAGTAAAATCCTCAGCTCCTAATAATAATTATGCAAAACACCATGGTATTGGTTGAAAGGGTTAGTTACAATGAAGAGTCAAATGCTAAGAGCTAGCCATTGTCAAAGCAAATCAAAGATCAGGCTTCCTACATTTAGAATTACTGAGAAAGTACAAAACTCGAGAAGCTCTTCATGAGTTTTCCTGGGTTAAAATACAAATCAATTTCCAATACAATTTTATAATGAGGCCTTCCAAGGGGTAGACATCGCCTCCAAAACTGGTGACAGTCCTCTCAGAAAGCACTGACAATCAACAGAAAAGGAGGAATGAATTGTAACAATGACAATCCGTGTTTAAGTAGTGAAAACGACATTCGGTTCACTTTAATATTGCACTTTGGCTGTTTCTGCTGCAAAGTACTGTAACAAACTCTCTTCTGCTACTTCTGAACATTTTCTGTTATTTTCTTTAAGAGCATTTTCTAATTACGGTATTTGTTCAAGAACACTTCCTGAGGCAGAAGGTTTAATAACAGTTACTAATTCTTCCCTAGTTGTGTAATCTGCTGTGAATTCCAAATTGAGAATCATAAAAATTTATGCCAAACCAACATCAACATTTTTGTCCTTGATAAACTGTGACAGCGCCTTTTTTTCCTAACCTACCAAGCAAAAGGTAGCCTCAGAAATGATGGACAAAGAAACAGCATACCCCCACTTGCAAGGCCTCTACAATGCCCTGAATGAAAGACAAGTAGGCGTGGACTGAATGAACAAGGGATTTATGTGCCCATGTGCTTTGCTTTCAGCTTCTAAAGCTATCTTAAAATGGTACCCACTCAAATACAAGATTTTGTTTTACCTGAAAGGCTTCCTGACATGGCAGCATCTAACGTTGACACCTGGAACAGTCTCAGGGCTTCTTCAACATGCGCTGCTGTTGCAAAAGGCAGTAACCTCATCTTAGCAAGTGACTCTGAAATCCTGATGATTGCTTCTAGTTGCCTGAAAGATAATTAAATTATCAGTGACAGGAACTTATAAACATGCAGTTCTAGTGTATAATGGTGTTAAATTAAAGGCAGCATATAAGGGTCAAAGCATGAGCCACAGGATACCCAAGGTGGGTTAACAGGGTGGGCTTTCAAAGCTTCCATGGCAGAAAAATTTGAAGACCTCCTTAAGATGGTTTTTGGGGGAAAAATTTGCAGTGCTCAAGAAATGTCCCGTCCATAGATTTTCCTGTAGTGCAAGTAACTATTCTTGATTGATCACTTGCCGATACCTGCCCTAAGCAAGCAAAATATTAGCCATGCTAGTACAAACGGCAAGGTAAAATTCAAATTTTCTTCAAAACCTGTTTTAGCAAAGAAGTTTTGGTGGTTTAGGTACAGGAAATAGAAAGAAGACATTGTACTGTCACCCCTTTAATTAGGCTCTAGAAAAATCTTACCTAACAGTGATGGGGATGTTAATCTTCTTCTCTGCATCTCGCTCATAATCTCGAGCCCCACTTCGCATTAAGACATAACGATTCTTCAGCATCTGTGCAGCTTCCTCAGACAGCCTGGGACCACATTTACTGCAACAAAAGAGATCATATGTGATTTATAGCAGACTTTAGAATGCAAGATTATAATAGGGGATGAAAATCAAGTGGTACAATGACTTCACAAATAAGGGAGAAAGTGACATGTTAAGCATTGCTGAAAAAATTAATAATAAATTATGATACAATAAGCACTTTGAACTTTGACTTAAATCTTGCAAGACCCAAATCCTTGAAACCTTGTTTTCAAAAATGTTTAAGAATTCTTACTTGCGACAGTAGCCAATGTACTTCTTTAAGAAGTTCAGACTCAGTTCTCCCTCCTGTGCTTGTCCAGTTTGAGCTGCATTAAGATGGACTTGCATCACATGTTTTGCAAGGTGCTGTGTGACAAAAGCAGACAAGTTATCACTAAGTGTGAGTTGTTCAAAGGGGAGTGAAATAACACTTTTGTTATAACAGTCATCATCATTATTTTTTGCAAAATTTTGTCCTATCAAGGTGCTGTTTAAGGCGTCATCAGCTTCATCACTTATTCTTCATCTTCCCCGATCCATCCCATGTGGTAGTGGGCAGATAAGTGAGGCTTTGTGTTATTTGTGTGCATAACCTGAAGCTACTAACTGCCTGCCACAGACCTGCGTCCAAATATTTCGCCACCCATTTGTTGGTTTACTTTGACTTATAAGTGCCTTATTTAGTTGCGTGACTTTTCATGGGGTTTCCAATTATAAGTGGATAGTGACATAAATAAATTATTACATGTATATTTAATAACACTAAAAAAAAAATTCTTATGGAAGGCCTAGAAAATATATTTCAAATTTCACAAAATGAAATCTTGCACAAGAAATTATACCTACGTTTCTAAATTCCTGTAAAATTTGAAATTTATTTTCTCAGACTCCCATTAAGAAATAATTTCTTAATTTCTTATTGTCTTTGGTGTTATTACAAATAACTAACTAATTATATCTATAGCCCTTGCCAAGTGTAATATGGTTTAGATTATTGTGGTACAGGTTTTTGTCCACTGAAAATGAAACTTACTGATGGATTCTGTCTTAATGTGTGTGCATGTGATGGGGGGTGGGTGGACTGATGATGGGAGGATGGCTGAAACGGAAAAAATCTTAAGATGTTGAGATCTCATTATTTTCACAATGTGTCACACAGTCAACTAAAAATAGCAAAAGAGTTTATCCGTATCTTCATCTGAACACCAACAAGACATAATTATTCATAATTTCCTTTATATATAACTGACTTCTGACAAAATAACTCACCATGTCTTTGCTCTGTTCATGTTCATCCTTCACAATGAAGATCATATCAAAACGGGACAATATAGTTGGCATGAAGTCTATGTTCTAAAGACAAAAAAGAATGATGATCTATTTTCATGGGATCACCAAAACACAGCTGCAAAAGTAAAGGCTAACTACAAAATTAATGCCCTCACCTCCTCTCCTTTTGTTTCATCCCAGCGACCAAAGACGGAATTTGCTGCCGCTAGCACAGAGCACCTTGAGTTCAATGTTGTGGTAATTCCAGCCTAAACATCAAGAAAAATAATAATGAATTATTCAGGTAACAACAACAATAAAAGTGGTGAAACTCTATGGACTACACTTGCATAAACAAAGAAAAAAGAATTACTTCTTACTTTGGCAATTGAGATGGTCTGTTGCTCCATGGCCTCATGAATGGCCACACGGTCATCTTCACGCATCTGTAAATAAAATCAATTATTTGAGAAAAAATTAGCATTCTATCTACTCTCACAAAGGTTGGTTAGTCTTGTGCTGTACATAACAATTGGATCAGCCATTGGGGCCCTGACTCAAAAATTTAGTTTTCAGAACACATTATTGCTGTAAGTTAAAAAATAGTAAGAAGAACAATGGTCACCTTATCGAACTCGTCAATGCAAACCACACCACCATCAGCAAGTACCATGGCCCCACCCTCCATGATGAAGTTACGGGATGCAGGGTCCCTCATGACAGATGCCGTCAAACCTGCGGCACTGCTTCCTTTGCCTGATGTGTAAACACCAATAGGAGAGACCTTTTCAACAAACTTCAGCAGCTGACTTTTGGCAGTACCTGGGTCACCCAACAAAAGAACATTGATATCACCACGCCTTGTCAGTCCATCAGGAAGTCTAAAGAAAAAAAAAGGGATTAAATTAGAGAGAGAACAATAAGTTATTCTCTGGAGAGAAATATGGAGTATAGATTTTAATTTGGGGCCACGGTACAGAGCTGGAACTCTGAAACCCCAACTCTATGTCACATGTTTCAGTATCAGTTTTAAAACCCTAATGTAGACTACACATCAACAAAATTATTCCTATTCCCAGACTCTGTGATTTCTCTTTCTTGTCGCAGACAATCACAGCGGCACATAACACAGATATATAACTTATTACTATTTGAGAATCTTGAGTCACTACAGTAGAAGCAGTGTACTGTTGGAAGGTCCCTGGGAAGGGAGAATCCCTCTAGCAGCCAATACTGGGAGGCTATACCTGAAAGGGGCACATCCTTTTTCTAGGGTTGACATGGGGATGGATATATGTCATTGCGGTATGTGAAAGATAGCTGTGAAAAAAAAAGGAAACTTGAAATCCTGGTTTAGTGATATATTCATACTTTAAAGACAATGCATTTACACCATTTTAAAGAGGTTCTTTTTGTCAATAAAAGGTATATGAAAGGGGAACCTTTTTTGTCCAAAATGGTATATTATAAAAGGGTAACTGGTTGGCCCCCCCGGGGTGAAGTCTCCCTATCTAAAACTTCGGGGGAAAGTCCTAG